ATTTCAGAAGTTCACTCCAAAGACAAAATCTTAAAAGCTGTTAGAGGAAAGCAATACACCATTTATAAAGATAAACCCATTAGTATCCCAGTAGAGTTCTCAATAGAAACCTAAGATGCCAGGAGAGCTTGGAGTGAAGTGTTTAAAGCCCTAAAAGAAAACAACGTCCAACTCAGACTAATATATCCTAAAAAACTGTTTTTCAAAATTAATGAATAAGGACTTTCCAAGACAAATAGCACTTTAAGAAATTCATGACGATCAAACCAGCACTCCAAAAAACTCAACATATCCTAGATAGACACAAAGAAGCTAATAATGTCAAGAAGTCTAGTGGAATGAATATAGTAGGTACAATGATCTGTTAAACAGAAGGGGAGAAAAGGAAACAAGAAGATAATGCAATGAGAAGAATATATCAGGGTTTTTCAGTAATAACTCAAAATGTGAATGGTCTCAGTTCCTTAACCAAAAGACACAGACTGGCAGACTTAATTAAAAACCAAAACTCAACAGTATGCTGCATACAAGAGACACATCTGATACAAAAATTCACAGACTCAAAAGATAGAAAACAAGATTCCATGCAGTAGGACACCAAAAGTAAGCAGGAATAGTTATTCTATTTTTATACAAAGTAGACTTCCACCAAAACTTATTAGAAGAGGCAAAGAAGGTCAATACATATTAGTTAAGGGAATGATTAAACAGGAAAAGATAACAATTATAAATATTTATGATTTGAATACCAGTGTATAGCCTGTGTATATTATCAAATGATAGGGTACTCCAACTTGATAGCAATGGCAAAAGCAGCCACAGAAATTTTAGACATATCTATAGATAAAATAACTTTAGAGTAGTAAACAGGTTACAGAAGCAATCAAGAAAAAATGTAAACAGTTCCAAGAATAAAATGATGATGGCAATACAACACAGAAAAACCTAAAATGGAAGTTTATTGCTTGAATGCTCACATTAGAAAAATAGACAGCAACCAAATAATACTGTAGTCACAATTGAGATCCCCAATATCTAAAACATAGTAAGTATATACTTCAAAAGCATATACTCTGATACACTGGGGAATCCAGAAGAAATGAATAAATGCCTGGATAATATGAGTTACCAAAACCAAACAAAGAAGATATTAAAACTGAAAAACACAATAGTAGGCAATGAAATTGAAGCAGTAATTAAAGAAAACTACCAACTATGAGAATCCTAAGACCTAATGTATTCACTGACTTCTACAAGGATCTCAGAGAAGACCTAATGTCAATATTCCTCCAACTCTAATGAAACTGAAAAGTAAGGAGTATTTGAAAATTCGATCTTGGAAGCCAGCATTACCTTGATTCCAAAACCAGATAAAGACTTAATTAAAAAGGAACACTAAAGGCCAATATCTAATGAACATAGATACAAACATCTTCAACAAAATACTAGCAAACAAAATGCAAGAAATCATTAAAAAACATATAACCAGGTATGCTTCTTCCCAGGAATGCACGGGTAGTTCAACATATGCAAATCAATAAATGTAATACATTATATAAAATAGAAGGACAAAAATCACATGATCATCTTTACAGATGCAGCAAAAACAAATGAAAAAATCCAACGTTGGTGCACAGTAAAAACTCTGAAGAGAATATATATAGAAGAACCTTATCTGTTTCTGATAAAAGGCATTTATGACAAACCTTCTGCCATATCATATTAAATGAATAAAAACTGAAATTTTTCTATTAAAATAAGGGACAAGACAGACCAGGATGTCTACCATGACCATGTCTGTTCAATACAGTACTCAAAACTTTACCTGGGCAATCAAGCAAGAGAAACAAATAAAAGGCATATGTATAGAAAAGGAAAAAGTCAAACTATCCTTATTGGCAGACAACATGATCTTTTACATAGAAGACGCAAAAAAATCCACCAAAATACTACTAGAACTAATAACTTTAGCAAGATAGCAGGACAGGAAATCAACACACAAATTAATGGCATTCCTATATGGTAACAATGAATCTACCTAGAGAAAAATTAGGAAAAGAATACCGTTTACAATAAGAACAAGAAAAGTACATATTTAGGGATTCATCTAACCAAGGAAGTGAAAAACCTCTGTAATGAAGACTGTAGTTCTCTGGAAAGGATAACACCAGAAAATAGAAGTATATTCCTTATTCCTGATAGGCAGAACTAATATTGCCAAAATGAACATACTAGTGAAATTAACACATAGGTTTCATGCAATCCCAAACAAAATACTAACAGCATTCCTCAGAAAACTAGAAAATAAAAAAGTCCTACAATTAATATGAAGTCAGAAGAGAGCCAGATTAGCAAAAGCAAGCCGGGCAACAAGAGCAAAGCAAGAGGCATCACAATCCTGGACTTCCAGTTATATGACAAAGCGACAGTGATAAAAATAGTATGATACTATAACAAAAACAGGCATGTAGATCAGTGAAACAGTATACAGGATGCTGAAACAACCCCAGGCACATTCAGCTATCTAAGGTGCCTAAAACATACTTTGGAGAAAAGATAACTTTTTTAGCAAATGTTGCTGGGCAAAACGGCTATATACATTCAGAAGATTAAATGAGAACGATATCTCTCATCACATACTAAATACAATCAAAATGGATCAAAAATTTAAAGTATTAATCTGCTTGAAAAAGTAAGTTAAAACTCTTGAACACACAGTCATAGGCAAGGATTTTCTGAACAGCCCTCCAATTGCATAAGACATAACTTCAAAATCAACAAATGGGATTATATAAAATTTTAAAAATTTTTTACAGCAAGGAAAAGAGCTAACAGAGAAAGGGGACAACCTACAAAATGGGAAAAAAAGAATTTTTCCAGCTATCCTTGGACAGAAGGCTAATATCTAGAATATATGAAGAACACAAAAAATTAGGCCCTCCCAAAATAAAAGATTTAATTAAAAAATGGACAACTGTTTGGAACACATGCTTCTCAGAAGAAGTATAAATGAGCAATAAATGCATGAAAAAAAGATTCAATATTTCCGGCAATTAGAGAAATACAAATCAAAACAACACTGAGATTCTGTCCTACCCAAAAAAGAATTTAAGAAATCAAATAAGATATTCCTAATGCAAGAAAACAAGGTCTATTCCTATGGCTAGGACATTAAATAAATTGATCACTAAATGAGGAATTGTATATAGTATATACATTACAATATTCAAAACAAAGAAATGGTAGAAGGAAGTTCCAAATTGATGCCTTTGCTTTTATTTGCATGACACTTACATGCAGTACTGTAGTGTATAACATAAAACTACAGTTCTGTACTGTACACTCAGCAAAAATCACAGTATTGTAATAAAAAAGTGTACTATAATAAAAGGTATAGTTGTAATAAAAAGACATTGAGGTTTTATGAGCAAGTACAGATGTACAGAACTGCACAAAAAAATCAGTTGCATTCTGAACAGCAAGCCTTGGCCATAGGTCTGAAGAGTCGTGAAACAGGCAGGTGGTTAAACAAGAAATATCTGTAATAAAAATGCTGGCAAGACTGTGGAGGAGAAAAGGAATCCTTCTGTATTCCTTGCAGGAATGTAAAATGATTCAACTGCTATGGAAATCAGTATGGAGATTCCTCAAGAAACTAAAACTAGAAATTCTATTTGATCCAAGCTTAAGTATTCCTTTCCTAGGAAAGAGTTAAAGACATACTACAGGGATACATGCATACCCATGTATACAGTAATACCACTTATAATAACTAAATCTTGGAAGCAGCCTAAATGTCCATCAAGAGATGAATGGATAACGAAAACGTATTTACACACAAAGGAACAAGACTCTACCTCAAAGCACAACAAAATTGAGTAGGGAAATGAAAGAGACAAAACTGTTAAGTAAAATAAATCAGATACATGAGCTTAAATATTGTATGGTTTCTCTTATATAAGAAACACACATACACAAAAAGAAACTATAAGTAATTTAAAGAAAAAAGTAAAAGATAAAAGAAAATGGGGAGACAGATCTTTTGCAAATAGAGGACTAAGAGATGCAGAGAGGGTAATTTGATTAAGAAGAATAAGATGTGTTATATACCTGTACCATGAATGTAATCATTAGGTACTGCAAACATGTACTAATAAAAATTTTTAAAAATACATTTCTCATTGAATGAATGTTCTCTAGGTATTTCGAAAAAACACAACACTAGGAAAATCCTAAATCTGAGAAGAAAAGACATTTTTCTCACACCCTTCTGAGAAAACTACTTTGAATCATGGTTTGGTCTTTGTGTAGCCATCTAGCTGTGCTGTCCACTATAGGGAGTGTAAAAGAAAGTTAACTGAAATTGAATAAAAATGTAAATTTAGTTCCATAGTCACACTAGCCACAATTTAAGAGAACAATAACTACATGTGGTTAGAGGCTACTTTCTTAGATAGTGCAGATATATAACACTAACATTACTGTGAAAAGTTAAAACATTGCTGATGCATATTGTTTGAAATAATACTTTCTGAAAGCTAATTGGCATCATTTACTCAGGTTTTCAAGACATACAAAAGTGATGCTGTAAGGGTCTTTTTAGTATGGTAATCACATCTTGCTTGACTTTTCCAGATCAATACCAATATTTCTGATTTTTTTCATTACTTTTAATAACATAAGCCATAAAAATAAATGCACCAGGTCAGGGGATTTAGCTCAGCGGCATAAGCGCCGCAAGCAGGCAGTTGTGAGTTTGATCCCCAGTACTGATAAAAAAAAAAGAAAAAGAAAATACAACAATTCCAATTATGGGCTTCTATGTAAATAAGTAGATAAAATCCTTTGTCATACTATGTGTTCCAAATTTTAATGCAAGACAAAGATATACAAAAACAACGCATGGATTTAGTAAATACAGCCTAGCAGGCAGATGTTTTCCTTCTCAAGCTTTGTGTTTGAGTAACCTTCCCCATCTATGCTTATATTTTGCTACTCACCGAGTTCCAGGTTGGTTTGCATGCCCTAAGTTGTCCTGCTGGCCTCTGGTGGTATCTCTGGCAGGAAGGAAGTAAACTCTCTGTACCACCACTTGAACCCCCACTTCTGAATATGGGGCAGCTCCCTGGCTTTCTACCACATCCAGGAGAGAATCCTTTGAGGAAGTGCTAGCTGTGAGGTGTTGCTTTGCCTCTTCATGCCCAGGTGTCCAGCATGTACTTGTGGTGGCCAGGCTACCATGTACAACCTGGTCAAGACATGCAAAGGGAGTTGTTTCAGTTTGGCCCACAGCATCATGTTACCCACCAAGTTATCCTGCAAAGGTTCTTCATTAAACTTAAAGAATGGTGAAGACAAAAGCAACAATGTATAGTGGCGGGGGCGAGTGTGTCTCTGTATCTGCCAGGTAACTAGCCTTATTGAGGAAGGACAGGTAGGTGACAGCAATGTGGACAGCAGAGTGTTCTTAGCAATGGGGTCCCAGCATTGACAGTACTACTATTAAACACGTTATGGTAATTAAACATGGTATTTTTCTTTCTTTTTGAGGTAACAAAGGTAATAGGACAAAGTAAAATACAAAATAAAAGAATGAGAGGGTGTAAGAAAAATAAAGCATTTTTAGCATTCATATATGCAATCTAGAAACCAAGCAAGCAGCTCCCCTCCCTCATAAGCGGCTGTGATGTAGCAGGCTGCAGCCCCTGCAGGGGGAGAACCACCAGCATCTCCTGAGATCCGCGCCATGTTGGAACCTAGAACACTGGAAAACCAAGCAAGCAGCTCCCCTCTCTGGTAAGTGGCTATGGTGTGGCAGGCTGCGGCCCCTCCAGGGGGAGAACCACCAGCATCTCCTGAGATCGACGCCATGTTAGAACTTAGGACGCTGGGAAACCAAGTAACCAGCTTGCCTCCCTGCTAAGCAATAGTGAACCTACTGGTACACGGCCTAGAGTCAAACATCCCACTTTCCCTATCCCCTTCCCCTGCCCCCCATTAGCAACTGGGAACCAGAAATCTGAGCATCTCTTGGGAGGTTGACCATAGCAAACAAGGGGGATTTCCTTCTACCATCTCTTTGAAGGCAAATATTTTTGAAGGCAAATATTTGATAAGTTCTATAATGTTCTGTATTTCATTTTATTTTGATATACATGATTGAAAGTACAACTATTGTGAAAATAACAAGATATACTGTGATACCTCTTATTGTTATCCTAGTAACCTGCTGTGAAGTTCTGTACCAATTTCACTACACTGTCTCAGTTGGCTTTATTCTGTCTTGTTCTGTGGTATTTTACTACTTTCAAAATAAAAAAAAAAAAAAGAAAAATGCAATCTAATCAGCTAAGGAAAATTGAGATACAGAGAATGCCCAAGGTGGCACAGCATAAAATGGCTAAAGTAAAATTTGAGCCATGGTGGGGCTGGGGATTTAGCTCAGCGGCATAAGCGCCTGCCTTGCAAGCAGGCAGTCGAGAGTTCGATCCCTGGTACCAATAAAAACGAAAAAGACCAAAAAAAAAAAAAAAAAAAAACCCAAAAACAAAAACAAATTTGAGGCATGGTTTATGGTGCCAAAGTCCCTTTCAATCATTACACCACACAGACGCTTCACTGACACGGTTATGAGAGAAAAGTGTATCTCATTACTTTCACATTGCATAACTGTTTAAAAATGTAATTTGAGTCACATTTTAAACATTACAATTAAATTGATTAGACTGTCCTCCTTTTTAATAATCCCCTCCAGAAACTTCTTCAAATAGTCAGTGGAGACTTTTGCTTGGTTATATGTTACAAAACAGGGTGGCTGGGTGTAATGGCACATTGCTGAAGTCCCAGCTATTTGAAAGGCTGAGTCATGAGGACTATAAGTAGGAGGTCTGTCTCAGAATAAAAAGGGCTGAAGACATAGCTCAGCACTCTAGTACTGCTCCATTCCTACTACTGAAAACAAAGCAAACTAACCAAACAAAAACAAGGTAAAACTACTTATCTTGGCAGTAGCTGATATTACTGCATAGGATAGTTTGAAGCACACATTAGTATGCAAAACACTGAGCTGAACTTGTACAATTTTCCCTTCCTCAGTATGTCAGTCTGAGCGCTTCTGTGTGTGTGTGTGTGTGTGTGTGTTGAGGCCTGTGCAGTGGGAACAACACTGACTCTCAGAACTGAGACTGTTTCTGTGGCACACAGTATGCCCACTGCTAGTGAATTTTAGTGGTTCTCCAAGTTTACCCTGGCAAATGATCATGGCTCAAGGCCATAAAAAATTCCAAAAAATCAACCTCTAGTGTATAATCACTGGTTTGTGCAATTATTTATATCTCAAAGGATATACATAGTATGGAAAAGAAAAAGAAGTGTTTTAAAAATAAAGATGGGCTTAAATGTCTTAGTTGTAAGATGTAGACAGAGAAAATACTTTCATATATTTTAATAAGTTAGAATAAAGATTAAAAATACATAATCAGCAAGACAGCATTAAAAAGATCACAACTAAATGGTGACCTGAACTACAGTGTTTTCAAGGATAACAATAATAAGATGTTCTATTGAAGATAGCAACAGGTAATATAAACTATTGTTATTCTCCTAGTATTTTGTTATGTAATTTTGTTTTACCTTTTTTCCATAAAATAAAATTTAAAAAAAATAAGATGCTCTAGCATATATTTTTGGAGGAAGTCCAAATGGAAAGTGAACATCTTCACACTTAAGTCCTTTCAAATCCAGTCTTCAATGTGACTGAAAGCATAAAATCCCTGACCCCATGAGACTTTACCTGGATTTCAGGTGAATGATTGGTTATTTCCTTAATTCTAAACATTTGAGCCAAAGTGATGTTTCTTCTTGGAAGGGGTATATCCCGACAGTATACTGTCTGAGTTGTTTCTGGGTCTTCTTTAGCAACAAATTTCTGACAAAAATAAGTATTCAGGATAACAGGACAACTTCCATCTGGGATAATAAGCTTTTGCCTGCGAAAGATAACAAAATTGAATAATTGGTAAAGTTGCATTCTCCTTTATATTTTGCTAAATCAGGAATGTAAAGAGCAATCACATACCTGTTACCGACAGCTAAGATCACTGCCAGCTTGCACAGTGACAGCCACCCTAATGGTGGACAGCTAAGAGCAGACCCCATGAGAAAGACAGTCCTCCCTACCAACAGATAGCTAGGTTAAGGCCAGCCCATGGAGTGACAGCTGCTCTTGAATGATAGACCACGAGAACCAGGCCAGCCTGCAAAGTGACAGCTGTCCCTAATTCTGAAGTATGGTTGTCAGTCAATCTGACTTTATTTTTCCACTGAAAGTTTTATGTCAGGAAAGGAAAAAGCTCACCTAAGTTTTTAGGGTTGAGCTTCCTCAGGCCAGGTCTCAAGGTCCTCCCAGGGAGAAATACAGACATGAGCAAAGACTATCAACAAGGAAATACCCAGCGAATTAAATTTTATTTACAATAAAACTTAGAGATACTTAAACATCTCTACTTTTCAAGTGACATGATATTAAATCACAAAGAAATTTCTACATTTGCTATCAAACTGACTGTAGTTACTGAAATGCCACATAACGAAATAGAAAACGAGTGTGTCTGAAGAAACCAATCATAAGACAGAGACTAGCAGAGTCAATTAAAACACAATCCATCTGTATGCTGTCTCTAAGAAATTCACTTTGAATATAGATGTAAGTAAAATATTGGAAAAAGATATATCATGAAAATATTAATTAAAACTACTAATTTCAGATGAGGGGGCAATATTAACACTACAATAACTAGGATTTAGAGAAATGAAAATGACAGAGACTCCACAGGACATTACATATTGATAAAAGATCAATCCACTAAAAACATATAGCTATACTAAATGTTTATTTACCAAACACCATGGATTACAAAGAAAAGCAGGAAGAAGAAAAATCATACAACTGAAAGGAGAAAAAAATTGACAAGTCCACAACCACACAGAACCAAAAGGAAAAATAAAACAATTCCACAATTAGAGTTGGAGACTTTAACATTCTTCTGTCAACATATAATAGAGGGGTTGGGGATGTACCTCAGTGGCACAGTTCCTGATTGTAGATGGAGGCCCTGGGTTCAAATCCCAGAACCAAAAAACACCAAAAGCCAAAAAAATCTTGATAGAATGAACAGAGAGAGTATTTGGAAGGAGGTGGAAGAGTGCAACATGCCATCAATCAACAAAATCTAATAAAACACTCCATCCAACAACAGCAGAGTTCATATTCTTTTTAGGTGCCACAAAACATGTTAAGACAGATCATGTTTGTTAATCTTAACAAATTCAAAACAATTAAAATCATACTTTGAATATTTACTTTGACCAATAATCAAATGAATAATCAAAACATTTGAGAACAGAAAATCAGAAAAAACAAGGCAACAAAGAGTTGGTCCTTCAAAATGATTCATGAATTGACTGACAAAAAAAAGAGAAGACATAAATTATCATCAAGAACAAAGATATGAGGACCGGGGATTAGGCTCAGCAGTGTAAGTACTTGCTTGGCAAGTGCAAGGTTGTGAGTTTTATGCCAAGTCCCGAAAAAGAAAGAGAAAGAGAAGAGAAAAGAAAGGAAGGAAAAAACAAGAACAAAGATATCATTACAGATCCTGTAGGCAGCACAAGACTAGTATGGGGCTACTATGAAGAACTCTACACACACACATTCTAACAACCTAGTGAAATGAACTAATTTCTTTAACTGGATATAAAGATGACTCCCTATATATAAAGCATTACTTCAAAAGTCAGATACTCAAATTTGGATGCTGAAAATCTCTCAAATGCCCATGTTAAGGGTTGGCCCTGAGGGTGGTGGAAGTTTTGCAAGGTGAGGCCTACCTAGTTCATGGGAGTATTTAATTCATGGGGGCTCCAGCTGAAAAAGTCCCCTCCTTGCTCTTTACACTCCCTGGCACTAAAGTTAAGTGATTTTGATTGACCAGATCTTCCCACCATGAGGTATTGCCTTATTATAGGCCTAAAATTAAGAGGTCAGTCAGACTAGAACATCAAAAATGTCTTTCTCTTTATAAGTTTATTATTTCAAGAATTTGTTAAAGAGACAAAAATAAATAACATACCTTAAACATTATTTGGGAAAATAAATTTTTAATTTTAAAACTCCCAAAAGGAGTAACTATAGCTCCAGATACTTTCCCTGGAGGAAAGAAGTATTAGCACTAATTCTTCACATGCTCTTCTAGAATGTGGAAGATGGAAACACTTCCACGTTTACTTTATAAACCCTGTATTACTCTGACATTAGATCAATGACAGTAAAAACTGCAGACCAAAATACCTTAAGACTATGGACAGGCATGGTGGTGCAACCCTATAACCCCAGCACTCAGGAGGCTTAGGCGGCAGTATTACCTTGACTTTGAGGACAGCCTGAGCTACACAGCAAGACATTGTCTCAAAACAACAACAATAACAACAGAATATGAATATGAAAACCCTCAACAAGGGCCGGAGATTTAGCTCAGTGGCACAGGCTGCTGTATAGCATGTGCAAGGTTATGAGTTTGATCTCCAGTCCAAAAAAAAAATCCTTAACAAAATATTAGCAAATAGATTCCAGCAATACATAAAATGACAATACCCACAACTGGGGTTAAGTTTAGGGATGTAAACCTTGTTTAACTTTTTTTTTTTTTTAAAAAGCACCTTTACCACCAATTTAAAGCCTAAAAGATAAAAATCATAATTACATCAATTGACATAGAAGAACCATTGTTAAAATTCACTACATATTATAATGAAAAACATAGAAGATCAGAAATATAAAACTTTCTCAACCTGATAAACAATACCTATAAAAATTCTACAATTAACATAATTAATGGTGAATGCTTTACACTTAAAATGGAAGCAAGGCAGATTTTCTCTTTCCTCATTTTTACTCAGATAATACCAGAAGATCTAGCCAGTGCAGTAGGGTGAGAAAAGAAAATAAAAGGAATACAGATTAGAAAAGAGAAAATAAAACATGACATAATTGCATATGTAAAAGTCTCAAAGAATCTGCAAATAGTTCCTAGAACAAAAAAGTGAGTTTTGCAACTTTTCAAGAACCAAAAGAATTGTATTTCTATATTCTATCAATGAACACATGGATTTCAAAATTAAAAATACAATACCATTTTAAGTAAGAAAAACAACAGTATTTCAGTATAATTGAACAAGATGCTGACATTACAAAACGGTGATGAACTAAGTCAAAGAAGACCTTAAACAATGGAGAGACATCATATTATGGGTTGACAATTATCATAAAGATGCCAATTCTCTTCAGATGGATATATAGCTTTAAAGTAATTCCTATCAAAATCCCAGTATGACTTCTTTTTTATGAGATATAAACTTATTCAAAGATGTACACAAAATGGCAAAGAATAAAATATTTTGAAAAAGAACAAAGTGAAGAGAAATACTTAATCCAATTTTAATACTTACTGTGTACCTACAAAAACCAATATTATGTTGTAATAGTAGAAAGACAGATCAATGTAAAATAACCCAAAACAGACCTCAAAAATATGCTCAAATAAAGAGTGATGGCAATTCAATAAAGGATAGCCTTTGGATATCCAATGGGAGCAAAATATGAGTTTCAACTTGTGTCTTCCATGTTATACAAAATTTAATTCAGAACTTTAACTTTGTATCCCTCATTCCTTACCCTTTAGTTTTTCCTACCATGTCTGGTAGCTTAATTCCTTTATGTTTTATTTTTCTTTTTCTTTCTTTCTTTCTTTTTTTTTTTTTTTTTTTTTTTTTTGAGACAGGGTTTCACTATGTAGTTCAGGCTGGCCTTGAACTCATATCTTGCTTCAGCCTACTGAATTCTGGGATTACAGGCATGTGCCACCATTCCTGGCTTAATTTCTCTAATTTAAAAATGTGATTTAAGACCCCTCCAAGAGCACAAGTGAACCGTCTGTTCACCTGGAGGACCCCAGGTAGGCCTACAAGAGCACCACTGAGCCCTTCCCTCAACTGGAGGACCCCAGGCAGGCTGGACAGAGTGCAGGTAAGCCCTCTCACCCAGAGACCTCAGAAGCTTGGTGAGAGAACAGGTGATCCGTCTTCCCACCCAGAGGATTTCAGTGGGCTAGTGAGCACAGGTAAGCCTCCCTTCAAGTGGAGGAAGCAGGTCAGGGATGTAATAGCACCTGTGACCCCTGCTTCCACCTGGAAGATCTCAGTGGGCCTGTAAGAGCACTGCTGAAGCTTCCCTACACCTGGAGGAACCTAGGCAGATTTGCTAGACTCCCAGTGACACAGTAGGGTCCTGGTTGGGGCACACCATGGACAAGTGAGTCTGGTGGCCCAGAAAAGTTTGAAGCAGTAGTAATAACATGAGCTACATATTGATTCATATCAATACTCCTAGACTAGTCAGCCCAGGCAAGCAATCAAGACTTACCCAACTGGCCTTGCAGGAGGAGTTGAGGTAACTGGTCCCTCCCCTACACTGTAAGACCCAGCAACTGGTTGAACATCAGCCATGTAGTAGGACTGTGACTAAGATACACAAAATGGACATGAGAGACTAATGAGATTGAAAAGACCAAACCATAAGCCAAGAGGTAAAATGACAAGATGAAAAAACAAAATGTAATCTAAGACCTCCAGCCCATCCAAAAGAGTACAGCAGACATCAAAACAGAAGAATTTGGAGGGTGCACATATGAAACATCTTAACAGAGAACAAGTGAAATACAGAAACAGACCCACAAGGCTATAGAAAAAAGTCAGATCACACATGATCTCTCAGGAAAAAAGAAATGTTAAACAATTAAGAAAACAACAAGGGCCCATGAAATAACAATTCAACAGCTCCAAGATGATGCAAAGAAAAACAATATAATCTGAGAGGTGTCAGTGAAAAAGCAGGAGTCAATACAAATGACATTTTAAAAAAAGCTATTTGCAG